TTTCTTTTTTGTACAAATGTTTGAGGTCCCTCGAAAGTCGGACATTTTACTTGTAAATCCGACCCTGACGGGACAATGTCAAAGCTAATGTTTTTTAACACAAAGGGTACAAATATGTATAGAACGATCTCACTCATTTGTTTCGATACCACATAATGACTGTCCCGCTAACAATAATTGTTCTCCTTCCATAAAATTACTTGATAAACAGCTACAGGCAGCATATATCATTATATCGGACAGTAATATATTATTAATTTTACATTACTAGTTACAAGCGACTCAGATAAAGTAGCCATTTTGTAAAAATGCAGTGCCCTCTATAGTTCATGAAAAACACGAATGTTAGTATATCCCATGTAATTAGTATATTAGTATATCGCTATTAACCTACTTCGCGTTGAATTTTCATCGATGTTAAGCCTAACAAATTCTTTAAAAAAATAATAATCGTCGCTATTGTATCGTTAAAAATTATTTTTAAATTATTTTATTGCTCACAAAACAAACAACCACTTATAATTAGAAAATTAAGTCTCGTTTAAATACTGGCCTCCCTTTAATGGTCGAGCCAGTATTGCCAGCTAAAACACGCAAAAATTTAACAAAAATAATATTAAATTTAACAAAAATAAGTAGCCAAGACATAGCCAAATATTGTAGCGCCACATCACTAGCAGACATTTGAAATTTGCCGACTAGAACGGTCGGTTAATCGGGGGTCGGATAATCGATGCTCTATTGTAATACCAAGAAATTCTTTCTTCTGAAAAAGAGGATTAATGCCTACATCTGTTATTAAACAACAGTCTTAGAATGGCATCCAATGCAGGTTGGGGCTTGGGGATTTCTACAATTTTAATGCTATTAATTACTTACGAAAAGTCCTGAAGAAGAGAGAAAAACAATCGACATTAGACAGATTTTTTAACCCTTTCAAACGGAAAAAACATGACTGATAAAAACACAAGACTGTGTATGTATGTATTTTTATTATTACATATAAATAAACATAGTAAGAAAGTATATATATTTTTTTATTTTTGGGGGTCTCCAGAACGAATTAATTAAATTTCCATTAAAACCTATGGTAAATCGATAATCGGTTAACGAACAATTCGGATAGCGAACAAAGTCTTGGAACGGATTATGTTCGTTAACCGATCACCCACTGTATATCGAAAATCATTAATATAGTACAGAAGCGTTTGCAAGGAAAAAACGTTACAATTGTTCAAGTTCAAACAATCATAATGGCCTTTCAAGTAAAAACTGAGCTATTTAAATCTTCACTGGCATGATCCGATTTCAAATATTTTTCAAACTTGCGAGTACTAAAAGAAAATAAAAAGATTTCCAACCGTGATTTCAAGATAAATATTAAACATCTTGATAAATTAAGAGAAAACTTTAAAGCACGTTTCGAAGACTTGGAGAATATGCATGTTCCTGAATGGTTTGCTAATCCATTTGATGTAAAAATAGATAATGGAGGTATCACCGTGAACCTGGCTTAGAAGATGAACTGATTGAAATATGTGTAGATCTCAAAGCTAAAGTGTTGTTTAAAAATAAAAACCTCAGTGAATTTTGGAGCAATAGCAATGTTCCCACTAAATATCCCAAGTTCAGAGCAGAAGCCGAACCTTTCTTACTTGCATTCCCAACTTCATACATGGTTGAAGCTGGTTTTAGCCACACAAACACAATTTTGACAAAACAGAGGAACAGATTGAACTTGGGAAACCGTGGGGATTTGCGACTAAAACTTAACAATTCTCAACTGAATATCAATATCTTGCTGCTTCTCTTCAGACACATCTATTCTACTAATATCAACTATTTTAATAAAAAGTTATGTTAACATTTTTTTAAGGTATTCAGTAATAGTCGCAAAATGACAGTAAGGTTTTTTCATTCACTATAACTTATGTTTTCAAAAATAATTGTGTATTTTACGTATTATGACACGTACGGTTTAAGAACTATAAGCAAATTTCCATCTATCCATAATTTTGCTATTATTTTTTAAGATCATAAATCAGTGAAAATATCTCATTTTTATGTTAATGTTATTGGATGGATTTTATAAGATATGAGAACTATAAATTCTTTTGTTGGGTTGTTATGCAGGTCTCCTTATTGCTTAACATCAGAAATGCAAAAATGATTTAATGTTTTTGTTAAATACTTAATCTGGGGGTCGATAAGAAGGCAAATACTCTATAAAGGGGTCGACAGGATACAAACTTTGGGGACCCCTATTCTATAACAAACTATAGACAGCCAGATCTTCCTTTGTAGGCTTCTCAGCCGTCCAGTTAAAACACTTTAAAAACGTAGAAATTATCCAATTAAAATTTAAAAATTTCTTAAAAATTGGAAATGGCAAATCTTACAACATCTTTAAAGTTCTCATCCTTGTCCATTCAGGGTTTTGGCTCCTTTATATAAACTTAAAATTATCACTGACAGGGATATAGGGACATTGAGGCATAATCTACGTTCGTCAGTGCTAATTTTAAGTGGATATAAAGGAGCCCAAACCCTGAATGGACAAAGATGAGAACTTTAAAGATGTTGTAAGATTTGCCATTTCCAATTTTTAAGAAATTTTTAAATTTTAATTGGATAATTTCTGTTTTTAAGGAGTGTTTTAACTGGAACGCTGAGAAGCCTACAAAGGAAGATCTGGCTGTCTATAGTTTGTTCTAGAACATGGGAGAAAATAAAATGGTGATCCCCTAAGAATTTTAGAATGACTGTCTTTTATTTTTACTAAATATTTTGTCTTGTTGAAACCTTGAACTTTTCAGAAAATGAAATCCCCAATTGTCTGCAACATTGGGGTTGTCCCTCTTTTGGAATGTAATGTTGATACAACTCAGTGATGATTCAGAAAGCAACACCATTTTCAACTAGACATTTAATGATTTTGGAATTAACACAGAGTCCTTCTCATCAGTTTTATTTTGCACTCCTTTGTATAAATCATATGATCGAGTTTTTCTAGAATTGTTAATATAGAGCCTAGTGCATTGTTTTTGTCTGCACCCTGTAAAAGATGAAGTATAAACTATGTAAGACTGTTCATGTTTCTCTAAAAAATGTATTATTTAGCCATAACTGTTAGTTTTAAGTGAGGTAGAGTCAAATATAATTTAACTTTTGGATCTCTATGTTATACAGTATATAATTATGAGAAATGGAGTATCAATGTCTTGTAAGTCAAAGCCATGTTTGTATGTAGTTATTGCTTATATTTCCTCTTCATCACAGCAATATTGTAGCACTGAATTTGTTTAGCAATGCCAGAGAAGTTGGCAGATAAGAATGAAATCTGGATTAATGAAGAAACATCAATTTTCGTGTGAAATTTCATAACTTTCAATGTGCTTTATGAAATCATACAATGAAAATGGCCTGTGGCCTGATTTGTGAAAAAAAAGAGAACTGGATCCTTTACATCATTAGTTTTAGATCACTGAATATCTGACTGAGGACATAACAAGTGCTTTTTCAACTTTCTTACTCCCCTAATCTTGCTTCCACAAACTTCCAAAGAAAAGTTGAACATTTCAACTGGCAACAGAGATGAAGCCATAATGATGAAAACATCAAAAATACATGATAAAAAAAAAAGGGCTTTAAAGACTGCTTTGGCAAATGGTATAAATCACGGGTTCCCAACCTATGGGTCGCGACCCAGAAGGGGGTTGCGACGGGTTTTCTGTGGGGTCGCCAACTTATGTGGTAAACTAAAGCAAAATTTTCACTATAATGCATATATTTATTTTTAATGGTGTCTTAAAGTTTGAATAATTTCATATATTTTTAAAAAATTAAAATAAGTGTAATNTTCGAATATTGGTTCGATTATAGAACGATTATAAACGTTCCAGAAATGTTGAAAATAGTTCGTTTGACTTGACGTGAACAGGAGACGTCCAGAAATAGAATCGGGACCAGGTCTCTAATTAGTCTGGAAACGGGGGACCTAATTCTTGCATTCTGTGAAAACGGGTAAGATTGGCTATAATGTAATTATCTTAATCTTCATTATCGTTACTTTTTAAAAACTCAGTGAAGCGGGTCCTTGCAGCTAGTAACAAGTAAAATCATAATCAAGTCCAATCCTACTGGAGAAACACAGGACCCACATTATCTCTCCACCCCCTTGATCTTTAATCACCAAAATTTAACAGCATCAATCCTCTTAATACACAAACTTCCCTGCAAAATTTCAGTAACAGAAAGCACAGGAGTTAAGTTTCAAACAGTGTGAACAAAATTATGCCATACACACACTGAAATTACAACCAATTTTTTTTGCATCTTGACATTTCAAGGTGTCTAAGTCTAAAAATATAAAAATGTAGGGGGTCAGTTTTTGCCGGATTGCCATACTTTCCCTGTTATATATAAACAGCCAGGAAAGTAAAAATTACAATTTTATTAAAAAGATTGTTTTCAAAATACAAGAGAGACATTCAGAGGATTAAATTGGGTAATATTTCTGAATTCATTCACTTTTTTTTTTTTTAAATCAACATATTGGTTAGAAAGAATATCAATGTACAGAATTATCTGTTATAAATAATTTCTTAATTTTCTGCCATTTGTGTTTATATCATGTTTGTGTAATCTATGTTCTGTTGACAGCTGAATGGCTGAGTGGTTAAGGTGTCAGCCTACTGCTCTGGGAAACCAGTGAGAATGAATCCAGTTGGAATGAAAAACCCAGAAATTTTTTGAGGGTTGTCCCTTCTGGATACATTAGGTCTTGTCTCTCTCCACTTGACGATTACACTGTGGGCCCAGCAGAATTCCAACATAATTCTTCTAGTTCTTGCTGAAATGTTCTGCTAAGAGATTTTTTGAATTTATATTTTGCATTAGTAATGATTTTCTTAATAATCTTCACATATTTGTCATAAGTAGTACACATTACATTTGTTTTTATTATTTAAAAATATTTGAAATTTATTATTCAGCCTAGAAGAATATGGAGAAGATAAATAAAGATATGATTGAAGTTGGAGATAATTTTTATCTTCATCATGAGTTGTTCAATAAATTGTATTCCTATCAAAGAGATGGTGTTAAATGGCTTTGGAATTTATATAAGAAAAAGAAAGGCGGTGTTCTAGGAGATGATATGGGGTATAACATCTCATATTCTATATGTATTATTTTGTTAATATATTCCTATATATATTTGTGTGTGTAATTTATAATACAGATTAGGAAAAACTATTCAGATAATTGCTTTTCTCTCTGGAATGTTTGATTTGGAAGAAATAAAGCATGTATTGATCATAATGCCTGTTTCCCTTCTACCAAATTGGGATAGAGAATTTAAAAAATGGTAAGTTCTGCATGTAATGTAATTTCAATATAAATTGTGTGTTAATATAATACATGATGACATAGGTTATCATAAAAAATTAGTCAGTTTTAATGTTTGACTTTTTAATTATCATTAATATTAAATTTACTAATATTTGTATATGGTCTTCAAAAAAAAAGAATTCTACAATTTTAAATTACAGTGGAACCTTGCATAATGAGTATTTCACATAACAAGCAAAACAAATTGTAAAAAGTTGACTCGTTTAATGAGTGATGAGAAGAGGGGAAGCCCCAAATGCAGTGTAACTGCCTACTTCTAGTCAAATTATTTAATTTCTAATATTTAATTATAGCCTTCACATATCCCAAGAATTTGGCATATTATTTGGTGTGTTTATCAGACATTATCTGTGATTTATTCATTTTTTTTACTGCAAATTGAAATCGCATTCCAGGTTGGTTCATTCTGCACTAGAAGAAAAGACGAGAATGACTCATGCTCCTTAACAATGTATATTGTGTAATTATCTTTGAATAAATGTTACACACAAAATATTTGAGTATTTTTTTCGGCATGTAACATTATCATAGTTTACATTAATTTACATGGGAAAAACTGTTTTTCTTAACGAGTGTTTCGCATTATGAGTAAGATTCTGGAATGAATTATGCTTGTTAAGCAAGGTTCCACTGTGTTATAATTATGTTAATTATTACTTAAAAACATTTTAATGTACATAAAACATTGGAAAACTATTAATGATGCAACGAATAGTATATTTGGCTCCTTCAAGCAGTGTGTATTCAGAGAGGCTTTTTAGTGAAGCAGGAAATGTATACGAAGAGGAACAGACTTCTTCCCAAAAATGCGGAAAAGCTGATTTTTCTGCACCATAACCTACTACTTATTAACTTCAGTTACGATAAATAATTTTGTACAATAAAATAAAAAAGTTAATTTAATTTTCAAGTTTATAATAAGGGATAATTTCATAAAAACGCTTTACAGATCATTAATTATTATTTTTTACACATTTTATGACCTAAGTTTTGATCTAATGTGCCCACGCAGTAAAAATTTTCATACAAATTTTTGCCTTTTTTCATCCCTTTAGGGTTGAATTTCGTAAAATCTTTTCTTAGCACGCGTAAACTTTACAAAAGGAACACACCTGCAAATTTTTAAGTTTCTACCACCAATACAGTCCGTTACAAAATTATAAACACACCCAACATTTTTTAATAACAAAAACATTAACAATAGTAATGTACTTATTATATTAGTATGTTGTTTACAACATCAATTTATACATTTTCTGAAATTTTTAGAACTATCTGACAATTAAAAAAAAACAATTATAAAAGATTTTCAATTTTTGATTGTTTCTAAAGTATAAACACAGGTGCATAAAATTAGCATGATAAGTTTTTAATTAATTATTGGTTTAATTAGTTGTCACCAGAGGATAGTATTGTTTATTATTACAATGTGGGGCCAATTTTAAATGGTTTTTTATGATTTAAAACAATGCCTCATGGAAAAACACTAACAGAGTTGGAAATACATGATATTTACCAACTAAAAGGAGCAGGACAATCTCTAAAACAAATTTCAGCAGTTGTAAATCGATCTACATGTGCTGTGAGAAATCTATTAACTCCGGATGAAAATTATGACATAAATAAGCGATGTGGAAGGTCTAAACTCCTTACACCTAGAAATGAAAAAAAAGATTTTTCGACTACTGACAGTCAACATCAATATTACCAATTGCAGTTTCACCAGAAACTGTATGGAGATGTATGCATAATCATAAAAATGCCAAATTTACAAAAATGGCTGCCAAACCAAAATTAACACAATTGCACAAAACAGCTAGATTAAAGTGGACCATAGACAAGATGACATGGAAAGAGGAATGGACCCAAATAGTCTTTTCAGATGAAAAAAATGGTATTTGGATGGACCTGACAGTTACTGCCACTACTGGCATTATTTGAAGAAGAATGAAGAAGTCAGAATGAGCAGACAGCAAGCGATCCTCATGGAGGTCTACAGAAAACCACTGGCAGAGCAGTTGTACATACTGACAGGATCGTGTGACCCAGTACAATACAAAGTTGCAGCGTTTAATGCATTAGTCAAAAGGGCTTACACTCACTCCTCAACAGGATACGCGCTTAAAACGGAGCTTAACACTTTAACTCAGATTGCTGAACGTCATGGGTATCATAACCTGATTAGTAGGTTATCCAGAAGAATAATTCAACCCCAACAAGCTACGAGAATCAGTGCGCAAGAGCAAGAAACAACAAACCATAAAGACAATTTTCCGGTTACATATAATCCATATCTAGAGAAGCTTTATTCGGAAATTGCTAAAAAGAGACAAATCCGCATCACTTATAGAAGATGTCCTAATATATTTGAGCTGCTCCTTAATGCGAAGGATACTCCCAACCAAAACATGTTATCTGGAGTGTATACCATCCCGTTAAAAGATCACAGATGTGATGAGGATTTAATATATGTAGGCTCCACAAAGTGCTCATTGGGGGTGAGACTGAAAGAACATAAAGTGGACATACTCCATAAGAGAATTACAACATCTTTGGTGCGTTATGCCACAGATTCGGACATCCAACCGATGTTTGATGATGCTAAGATCATCCGCTCCATGCAACATACGGAACATTTGAGGTGGATGGAGGCGATTTATATATACAAAACCGCCCAAAATAATAAGGGTATTAACAGTAAGGAGGAGTTATCTTTATCCATAGCATGGCAAGCATTTATATACGACGGATGTTAATAGAGAGATTTTTTACTTCTGAGGAAGGCGCATGCGCAATGATGTCGTCAAACGCACAAGGTTTCTCTGAATAGTTTTACGGAGCTCTTTCAGAAAGTGTTCCATCAAATTTTATTCAATTTTTTGTCAGTTTCTCACCTGAGGAAGAACTTTGAAAAACATTTTGAAAACATTTGTGATATTGTATTTTTTTTTGGAGAAACGCACCAGTATTGGTTTTTAGAGGTTAGTTGTTATATATCGCGGTGTGCTGTTGATGTTTTACTAAAGATGATGATGAGATTCCACTTGCTATAACTCTAATTAAAAAATCCAGCAATGAGTTGGTTAACTTTCTCAGCAACATTTAAAACTGATGTGATGCCACCTGTTATATTTCATTAAAAAAATTTTTGTTTTTAATTATTATAAAATGGCAAAAAGCTTAATTTTGATGGTAAAGATGAGTGTTATAAAAATTGTAGATGTTAATAGTGAGTATAATCATTAAGTCTGGTCCTACTCAAGACATGTATCATGTCTTGAGTAGGACCCTCTTTGTGCCCATCCCCTCAATCTGTAACCACCAAAATTTAATAGAGTCAATCCCCTTAATACACAAAACATCCCAGCAAACTTTTAGAAATTTCTGACATGAATCATAGAAGTTATTAAGTTTTAAAGTGTGTGAACAAAATTGTGCCACCCCCACACGAATATCCATATATACAGAAAAAAAATCCTGGATTTGTTTGCATTTCTTGAAATTTCAAGGTCCCCTAAGTCCAAAAGTGTAAAAATATTGGGGTGTCAGTTTTTGGCTAATTGCCATACTTTCTCTGCACTATATATAATAGAGTCGAGATAGTAAAGAGAGATCTAGCTGGTCAATAAATTGGGAATTTCTTAAACATGATCACATTGTTGAATAGCTGAAGAATGCTGACAGGTCAAACATGCCCCAAGGTCATGTTTGACCTGTCAGCAAGAATTATACAATGACCCACAAAAACAGGATCATAATGACTGATAACTGAATTAGTTGTCAAAACCAAAGAAACTTTAGCAATGCTGTTAACAACTGCTAATTTTGTCCAAGATGAAACAGGAAATCTCACCAATGGAGCATGAAGAGGATGACTAAAATATTTTGAATGATAAAAGTGATTTTGCATTTATTATGAAAGTGCAAATAAAATTTAGTTACTACGCATGTAAATCATATTTTTTCATTCAGTTTTTGTCTGTTAATTAGTGACATATTTTATTTTAATTTATATATAAATTAAAATAAAATAAGTTTATGAAATGAAAAATGCATTTAAGCTCATAAAACCCCAAATTATAATTTAACATAGATTTTCATATAATTAGCCTGTTTTATATTTCATATATTAATGTCTGAACATATACTATAATATTATTTTTCATTGGGTTTTAAGATATAGAGCCTTCCATGTCTTCCATTTTTTCATATGTATAGTATCTCTCTTTTTATATGGTTTTTTTTTTAACATAGACTTTCTGGGAATGTTTATACCATGTAAAAGCAGAAGTGTTCTTAATTTTAACCAACTGTTTTTTTGTTGGGAAATCCTGGACAATATGATTTTATGTGGTCAAAATTATATACATAATGAGAAAGTTATTTGAGAACTAGGGAAACAAGATACCTCTGTACATAAATTCTTGACTTCAGAATTTTAAAGAGATATTCTGAGCTCAAATTTAGTGTCAGGGTGTTATTATTGGAATTTCTTCTTTAAGATGATTTGACAGCACATCAAAATGATACTTGTCCAAATTGGTAATGTGAGGTTCCAGATTGGGTCCAAACCCAGAAAACATACATAAAAATTAAAAGAATGTGAAAGTAACAGATTAATAACTAAAGAATGCATAGAATAAACAGCATTGCAATGAGGAGAAAATACTGCTAGAAGAAAAAACAAATGTATATTGTCATTTTTCCAGAAGAATTAAAAATAAAGTGATATAATTCGTGAGTGCAAGACGAGTGTAGACAACAAGAAGTTTCAGGTGTTCACTCAGAAAAATGAACCCTGATATATATATATATAAGAATGAACTTTAAATAAATTATAGATTTATCATAAGGAGAGGATCATAATGTCATCATTAGGATTCTTGATTGTCATAGTATCAAAACATAATTGCTTAAATTACGAGAAAAAGGGATAAAGTTCAATAAACAATTCTCGGACAGAGTTGAAATAAGATATCAAATCTGTAATGTGTGCTGATTGTGTGCAATTGTCAGGATGGTCGAGGGGTTGAAACAATCATGTATAGGTGTGAAATACATCCTGAGACAGGCTTACCATTCTTTTTCCCATTTAATTAATAAAATATTGAAATTTTTCTTACAAAACTTTCTGTATCCTTGTCGGTATAATTCTCCTTTGATATTTCTTTTTAAGAAGAGAGAGAGTCCAGTAAAAGTCCAGATGTCCCATTTGATTTCTTTACTTGGTCTCTTGTTGATGGGCTACAAGATCAACAGCCCGGGGCTCACTATTAAGCTTTGGATATAACAGTTCTTGGAGAAAGAATGAACCTTGGAGATAGAACAACCATGAGAGTACGAATAGCAGATTTTGGAGGAAAAACAAATTTTTGGAGCAAAGAATGTCATGTCCTTGAAACATTTGTTTTTGTAGGTTTCCTCTATTCTGCATTCTGATTGGTCTTCCCTCATCACCCGGTGACAATTTGAAACCTTTCGAGGCATGGGAGAGGTCATTATTAACACTTAACCAGATCCCAATTATCTAAAATTCCTCCAAACTTTGATATTCTCTCTGCAATTCTAGTCTTGTTTTCTGTTTTGATGAAAACAACTTTTATTGTTTAAGCTATACTTTAAGTCTTGCTTTGTTTTAATTTTGAAAGGTGAAAGATTAACTGTCCCACTGGATATTTGTCATCAAAAGCATAAGATTTCAATATCCGTCCGGGACCTTACAAATTGTATGTGGATGGTCAACCTTTCTCGCACCCAAATCTAAGTTTGGTTACACCCAAAAAGCAGAAAGATGACCAATTAGGAAGCAAGGGATGAAGAAGTAACCCAATCCAATTTCTTTTAATTCAGTAAAACCCTACTTAAACAGTGGGCACTCGACTTCTTCCCCACCAATTGTCCAGGTATACTTTTTTCTCAACTGTTGTACTTAAATATATGCTTAAGATCAGTGTGTGTTCTGAATATTGTTTGTGCCTGTGTGTCAGCCTCATCTTCTCTACCAACCCAAACCAAGGATTGTATCCAGTTCTTTGACTCAACTCAACCTTTTGGATCTACTCTGCTCCAGAGCATCTACCTTGCCAAAGGACATGTAATGGAATGGATGATCTTACACATCTGGACTTAAAGTTATAATTGATTTACAGGAAGTTTTGTATGCTCCTTTTAAATGTTTTAATAAATGGGTTGGAAGGAGACTTGTTTCCATGTCCACTCTCCTACATATATACTATCACCACTCATTCACCCTGGGGATGAGTTAATGCTCCCACTTGTTGGCAAACCCACAGTAAAGATGAAAAGTTCTATTTTGGATAATTGTCTTCTCTTAAATTCTCTGGTCAGTTCAGAGGACTTCTTGAAGTTATGAGTATGGGAGTCTATCTTCATCTCACCCCTAATCTTTTTTGTCTGTCTCTCTTAAATTGTTTTAATATCCCCAGCATCATCTGTGAACTTTTTCTGTTGGATAGTCAAATTTTATCTCTTTGATTGGCTCTGAACTATGACCAAGAGTCTGTGAGGGTCATGCAAGGATTCATCCCTTATCTGAGATGCTTTTTTCCCAGTGGATTTTTCTCTTTCAATTTACATTTCTATTGTAAACTCAATAATCCAATTTGTAAATTCAATCAATCAGATATTTTGTTGACATAAATATAATTTTGTGATTCTTATACTTCATTTAACATAGTGTTTTTTTTCTTTCATTAACACAATCCTTAATCTCATTATTGAGTATTTTATTATTCATATAAATCACATGTGATCTTGTGATTTTCTGGCTTGTGTACTGTACATTCCTTGGCATTTCATTGGAAACATTGGGACCAATATCACAGCAACAATTAAAATGAAATATTTAGAAACTGTATAATAAAATTATATACTAAAAATAATATTTTACATAAAGATTAAAGAATCTTATTTTGAATATTAAAGGGTTCCTGGCATGAATACAAGCAATTTTTATAGTTCTAATAAGAGAAAACGTGAAAGGAATTTAATAAAAGTTCAGTGTTATGGAGGTGTTCTATTAACAAGCTATGGAACTGTAATAACAAACAGTGAAATATTATCTAAACGAGAAGGACGTGAATTTGTCTGGGTAAGTATCTTGTTGCCTTTTGTTGCTTATACAATTAATAATAATGATGATATTATATTTCTTTCAGGATTATGTTATTCTTGATGAAGGCCATAGAATCAAAAATCCAACAAAAACAACAAAAGCTGTTCATGATATTCCTGCTAGAAATCGAATTGTGTTAACTGGCACACCTATTCAAAATAATCTGAAGGTAAGTAAGTATCAATGTAACCTTAATATAAAAATAAATAATGTTCAAATAGACAAAATATTGCATTTTCAATCAGTTTAAATTCTTAACTATTCAATGATTATAAATCTATCTGTATCCTCTATTATTCCCAGCAGGCATTTTATTTATATTTTTATTTTAATAAAATTATCAATATAATAATTGATTCATTTATAGAATACCTCAGTTGTATTTTTAAAATTATGATTAGATGCTGTTATATTCTATTTATATACTGTTTTAAAATTAATTTCAAATAAATTATACAAGTTAGAGGTATCCATCCTTCATCTACCAATTAGACAGCTTTTTAATGTAGATATTTATCATTGAATTTCTATTCAGAAGGATAAAATTAAATAATCTCACAACTTGATGATATATGTGATACAATAGAGAAAAATCATTGTGTTAATGTAACAAGTTTCAATATACAGGGTTCTTATGCGACTGGAAAATCAGGGATTTTCATTAGTGTTTGGAAAAAATCCTGGAAAGTCAGGGAATTTGCCTCCTTGGCTGTCTTGTTGATTTTTTTTTTGCTCACAATGTGGTTGACCAAATGTAACCATCTGCAGGCAGCAAGAAATAATATATGATGCAATGCAACATATGAAAAGGGGTACAGAATATTTTCAGGATCCAAAATTTCAAACATTATTTATTGCACACAAATAAAACCATAATTTATGAACCCAATTAATAATTATTATTACATAGTTAGAAAAATTCAAATTAAATCATGTGTACTGGATGTTATTGATATTCACTCCTCCGACCCTGATCCCCACATCCTCTCAGAAACATTCCTGTGTTATCTGTTTGGAGAAGACATTAAAAAGTGTGGGTGATAATACACATCCTTTTTCTATCTGACATGGTGCTGTTTCTATGTCGTCCAGCTTAACTGTGGCAGTCTGGTCCCAGTATAGGTTGCCGATCAGTTTGTAGTCATTTGTGTCTAGATTGACTCTCTAATGTTTCCATTAAAAGTGGGTGTTGTACTTTGTCAAAAGCTTTTTTGTAGTCAACGAAACCAATGTACAACTCCCTTTGCATTTCTATGGCTCTTTCTGATAAAATTCTCATGTCAAACAGTGCATCAATAGTGCCTGTTCCAAGTCTAAACCCAAATTGCGATAGTCCTATCTGAGCTTCCATTTTGTTTCTTATTCGTTGTCCTATAATTTTTAGTAAGAGCTTTAGGCTATCGCTCGTTAGACTTATGGTTCGGAATTGGTCATACCGCTTGGCATTGTGCTTCTTTGGAATTGGGATGAAAGTGGATTTTTTGAAGTTGAGTGGTAGCTGTCCATCTTTGTAGATTTTATTAAAAAGATCTAGTAATGATAGTTTTGCTGATGTGCCCAAGGATCAGAAGCTTTTCCACATCTCATGGAGTCCATGGCATGTTCTAATTCTCTTAGCGTAATTGGAGGGGCAGCATCTCCTTCTGTTGTATGAACCTGGGGATGTCTGTTGTGATCTCCAAACAAATCTTTGATGTCCTCTGTCCAAGTTTTAGCTTTTTCTTCCTTTCCATATTTCATTTTGCTTTGTTGGTCTATTAAATTTGTTACGCTCTTCTTTGTTTTCTTATGTTCTTTCATGGTTTCTTTGATGATTCTATGGACTTCTCTGGTATGGTGCTTTTTCTCGTGCTCTGCTATTCTTTCACATTTTTCCTTGAACCACTTTTCTTTAGCTTTGGCGCATTCATGCGTGATCATCCGATGAAGTTTTTTGTATTCTCCAGGGTTTTGGTTCTTAAACTTTCTGCATTCCTCCATCAGTGTCAAAATGTCCTCTGTGATCCAAGGGTTCTTCCGCTCTCTTTCCTTTTTGTTAAGTAAGGTACAGACAACATTCTTAATTGCACTTTTTATGTTTTCCCAGTGTTTCTCTACAGAGGGTATGTCGTCGTCTTGGATTTCTTTTGCAATCAATCACCTCACTAAAATGTTGCCTGATCTCGCATATTTTCAGCCTATCAAGGTTGTAATGTAACTTATTCTTTTTGACATTTGTAACTTTAAGTGAACCTGGCATAGAGTAAATTATGATCTGTGTAGCAGTCGGCTGAAGGCCTTGTTTTAACATTGTGAATTGAGTTTCTGTATCGTTTGTTGATGAGGATGAAGTCTATTTGATTTTGTACTATTCTGTATTCTCTGTCTTGAGGACTTTTCCATGTGTACAGTCTTTGCGGATGTTGTTTGTACCATGTGTTGTGATACATAGGTCATGGCATTCTGCAAATTATTTTGATGCCCCCTCTTTTTGCAAGTCAGAGTGTCTTCTCAAGCTGTTCGTAGAATTCGTTTATGACATCTTCTGGGGCAGCTTTTGTAGGTGCGTATACTTGAATAATGCTTATAGCCGTGGGGTATGATGCTATGCGCAGGTAGAGAGTGTGATCTGATATTACTGCTACTCCATCAACAGCTTTCGTGATGTCTTTCCTGTTTACATAATATGTGTATATGATTAGTTTGACTAAAATGTCTTTTTTTTTTTTTTTTTAACTTTATGCACCTTGTCAGCGCTCAGAGAGTTTTTTTTAGTAAGCCCATTATGGATTTTGCTTATAGGGCAGCCATGTAATGAGGAACAGGTCCCAACATATCCAGACAAATCATATCCAGCCAGACAACATATCCAGTTTTTCAACATGCTTGGATTTGATTTCAAGTCTCCTAGAACAGTAGGCTGTCACCTTAACCACTTGGCCATCTGAATATAATGTTAAGAGTTAAATACAATGTTTTGAATATAACAAACTTTGAATGTTCATAACCTCAACATTTTCCATATTCAAATATGAAACTCATACTTAAGTTTAAACAGGTCATATAACATGGTATTTACATTCCAAAAATGTGCTGTGTTATGCAAATCCATGCTATATGAAACAAAAGACTAAGAAAAATGTAGGGTTACCTTCCAAAGGTAGCAAAAGTATACTATTCATAATTAAGAGAAATATGTTTATTAAGGCAATCAATAATTAATAAAAGTACCGTGTTATACATTAATATTAATTTTAGTTAAACGAGAGCATTTTCTTCTTATTGTCATCTCAGCTTTTTTCTTGATCTTGATCAGAAGTATCAGCAAAATTTCCATATTTTTTATTTTTATCAAAAAATTTTTTATGAGTGACATAGGTGACATAATAAAGATCTGTTATTAATTGAAAATTTGTTTTAGCAGGTCGCATTTGTTCAGTTGAATAGCTAGAGACATTTTCCAGAATTAGTGTTTGAGTACTGATATACTGCTGTATTTTGTTCGTCATTTTACAAATGATTGCTTACGTACAGTTTAAAAAAAGTTTAATAGCACTTATCTAAAAATGTTTAATCAAACTTTACTAAATATGAAGATTAATCTATAAAAATAAAACACAATGACAAGTCTTAAGCGCTAAAGTTGAAAGCAATGACAACAACACCTGGACAATGAGAAAGTTAGGACAAGGAAGAAAAAAATTGCATTATCAGTTTTCATTACAGTAAAGCTGACAAAAAGCACAAAACAAATTACAATATTCTAAAATTCATGAGCAAATTTGAGACAATACATGTGCTTACTTGAATAAAAACAAATATATCAAAGTTTACACATAAAAATTGTGGAATGTTGTACAGAGGATTTCCAAAACTGTGTTAGAGTGAAACTGGAGATCATTTTGTAGAAGTACTGTGTTTATGAGAGGTACCTGTATTTTCAGAGAAAAAATTGTTTTATTGGTGAAAAGAAAGAAGAAAGATTCTTAGAAGTAATTAAATATTACATTATTAAAAATTTGAAAAATATACAAAATTTGTAAGCTTACAATGTAGGAAAAATATTTTTACTAATATCATTTTCCATTCCATTATATAATGTATATATATATATAAATGGACGTGTTTGTGCCTATATTTCACTCTGCAGCCAAAACTACACATTGCACATGAATGGTGTTTGTGTGTGGTAGTAGCCCTAAGTCTCCCATCGTGCACTATGGTGGTTGTGTCTTGATAGCTATAAGGGTTTGGGAGATATGGGGTTGAAAGTGGTTGACTTCTAAAATGTGTAACAATGAAAGTGTTCAATAAAAAAAGGAAGTGTTAAGAGAAAGCAGTGTGCAAGATTTACAGGTGCAGATGCTGTTTTTTGTGTTTTTGCGGGAAATTGAACATATTTTTAGACCATGTAAACATTCTCTAATTAGTCTGGAAACGGGGAACCTAATTCTTGCATTCTGTGAAAACGGGTAAGATTGGCTATAATGTAATCTTAATCTTAAATGTTTTTGAATAGTCGAAAATGTTTTGGAATAGTTGAGGACCGTTATGTGTGAGTAGTGGGATGACTTTTGGAGACGTGTGACACACATGCTTCAGTTGATTTTTCATAAGTAAAAGTGTACAAATAACAGAAAAAAGTGAAAAGTGAATAGTGAAGTGTGGAAAGTAAAAAATATACAAAACAATGCCAAAGCGTAAGAAAGAATTTTTGTGGTCTCGAATCATATCTCAAAGGCAAAAGATGGCATGGAGAAATGAAACCATGGAAGAAAGAGAAGTACGTTGAACATTGCTATGAGAAAATTATCAACGAAACAGAAATAATCAGACAGAAGAGCAACTTGAAAATTATAGGAAAATACATCGAATCAGAGAAAGATTATGTACAGGAAAAGAAACAGTCTTTTATATATTAAAAAAAACTATATATATATATATATATAAATGGACGCGTGTGTCCCTATATTTCACTTTTCCGCCAAAACTACACATCGCATGTGAATGGTGTTTGTATGTGGTAGTAGCCCCAAGTCTCCATTCGTGCACTATGGTGGTTGTGTCTCGATAGCTATAAGAGTGCGGGAGATATGGGGCTGAAAGTGGTTGAAAGTGGTTTTCTATTTCGAATGTTATATTCGAATTTGTTCGAATTTAATTCGAACAATATTCGAATTTGAATTCGAACATAAAATTCGAATATTGGTTCGATTATAGAACGATTGTAAACGTTCCAGAAACGTTGAAAATAGTTCGTTTGACTAAACGTAAAAATTCTCTAATTAGTCTGGAAACGGGGGACCTAATTCTTGCATTCTGTGAAAACGGGAAAGATTGGCTATAATGTAATTATCTTAATCTTCACTATCGTTACTTTTTGCCCAGCGAAGCGGGTCCTTGCAGCTAGTTACATATAAATGTATGAACAAATAAAAACCCAGTGAAGTAGGTACTTGCAGCATTTATTTTATTTATTAAAAATTTTTTGATATTTACAGATATGAGTCATTATATATATATAACGACTCATATCTGTAAAGAATTAAAATTCAATAGCGTATAACTATATGGGGAACTGCATCAGACTATATCGCTAACCATCTACAAATACAACAAAATCATTAATGAGAGCCATTTTCAAATTAAACTACTACGAATCAACTTCCTATTGTTATCAACAAGAAAAAATTGACAACATAAAAACTTTATACGCAAAGCAAAACTGTACTTCTCTTCTTTAAATTTATAAAGCTTAAAACACACAACAGTTATCTTCTAAGCATAATTGAAAATCATTGCAGAAAGGAAAATTACTGCCATAGTCTAAACCAGGGGTCTTCAACCTTTTACACTTTTAGGAACCCTTCGAGCTCATGGTTTTCTTGAAGGAACCTCATGTTTAAGTAGCATATAAAATAGTTTATCAAAGCTTTTTTATACTCTAATTTGCAAAATTATTCTTGTATCTTTATTTAATCTTAATACAAACATAATAAGAATAGTGAGGTAGCAAATCAGGTTTTATTTTATTTATTTTCTAGAATACATTTTATGAATAATTAACAAAAGGAACAATATTTTATATTATAACAAATTAATAAAAAGAAAATTCTTTTAATGACTTGACTGTGCTTATTTTTTTATCACAAAGCATTTTTACATCGGGAATAATTGTTGAAATCTGCAGCCTAATGTCATCTTCAGCATCCAATCTGTTTCTGTATTTTGTTTTTGTGGCAGCATACAAAGAGAGAGATTTTTTGCATATATAGGTTGATACAAATTACATTAGCTGTTTCACAGCTCTTTTGGCAATTTCAGGATATTCATTTCTAATGTCAATCCAAAAATGCATAATATCAATTTGATTAAATTTTAGTTTCAATTGAGTGTCAGTTAATATATCAATTTGTTGTTCTTTTTTTTTTATTGGGAGTTTGGAGGTGTCAGTCTTGAAAAGGATTCTGAATCCAAGATAATTTGAACAAGAAAATATTCAAGAAATGTTTTTTCAGATCAATAAATGTTGGACCAAATTATTTTTTACATTTTTATCGAGATTAGCATTACTGTCTACTAAAATATTGTGCAAACTAGGAAAGCATTCAATATTTTCTTTCAAAATGCAATCTGCCCAAAATTTCAATTTCAAAAGAGTAGTGTCAATTTTATCTTGAAAATATTGATATTTGTTCCTTGGAGTGATGTGTTGGGCCCATTTAAATAGGTAAAAATATCTGCTAGATATACCATTTTCTGAATACAAACTGCATCATTTAATTTTTTGAGCTAATTGAGGTGCATGTTCAGATAAGAAAATTCTTATTTCATCTTTTAATTCACAAAATCGTGCTAACACTTTTCCATGAGATAACCAACGGATGTCTGTGTGTAACAGTAGTGTTCTATGTAAACTTCCCATACTTTCACACAATAAATTGAAAACTCTTGAATTTAATGGTATTGATTTGATAAAATTTATAATTTTAACACAATCATTAAGTGTCTTTTAGCTCTTCTGGTATCTTCTTCACTACAAGAGCTTGTTGATGAAGACAACAAGCTCTTGCAAGCTGAATGTGAACATGTTGTCACATGTTCACATTCAGCACATAACCCTTTTGGTTCATTTTCATCACCAATCCATGCAAAATCAAATTTTATGTATTCTTTATTATACTTCTGCTTTTTACGAATGGGTAAATCCAAATCACCAGATGACTTTTTGGTACTAACATCTAGTTCATTTTCAACAGTAGTAGCGAAACTAGTTCCCACATCCGTGGAATGAAGCTTACCAGTTTTCAACCACATATTCATTATTGCTACGGTAGTCTAATTAAATTGTAAATAAATAATAAAAGTTATCAATTATGATATAAAAACAAAATAAATACTCACTCGTACGCTTGTATGTGATTGTATTTAACATACAGAATGAGATTAACAGAACTAATATGCGACATCATGCGTCTTGATTGGTGTATTTGAAGCACATGACTACCAAATTTCAAGATTTTATTTTATCCATAAAATATTTATTTATATTTATTTTTTAAAATCAACTGCCTTTTTATATCTAATTTATATTAATATTGTAATTTTTACCTAATATTATATTAATCTAATATTTTAATAAGACAGTCCACTACCCTGTTTCTACATGAAAAATTCCTTGTATAGATGACTTCCAAAAATGGAAGTCATCTATACAAGGAATTTTTCATGCATGTAAAAACATGCATTTTGGCTGAGTAAATAGTGATCTCTTGCAGAACCCCTGTCAATGTTCCAGAGAACCCAGGTTGAAGACCCCTGCTCTAAACTATAACTTCTTAAAATCCTCAACAAAACTTTCAAATGATAAAATACTGGAACTTGTTATGTAAAGATTTTCAAGAGATAACTAACAAGAGGAAATTCAACTTAAACACAAAAAACCGCCTCAGCCAGAGCTTTAAAGTAAAAACATTTTAACTGAAAAACCAATGATTCTGCAGATCAAACACTTTTTCTTGCATACTTAAAATTTAAAAAAATAAAACAATAATTGATATGTACCAAAAAACAAGGAAAAATGTAGGAAGAGGGGAAGAAAATTTTCGAAGGATTTGACTACAGTGGATAAATTATGCTTTTCTGTTTTAGTGCAATTTAGTGAAATTTTTTCTTAGCTATTAACGCATTTGTATTTTTTTCCCCTTTTTCTTTTGCTAATTTTCATATGCTTTTTCTTCCTCTGTTGTTTGTTTAGTTTGTATTTTTGTGGCACTTGAAAAAGGCCAAATGGCCACAGTGTCTTTTAAGATTAACGATGTGTGTTTCTCAAAGTGCACACATACAGTGGTACCTCAGGATACGAAATTAATCCATTTCGAAACTGAGATTGTATCATGAAAACGTCGTAAGGTGAATAATTTTTCCCCGTACGATTACATGTAAAACCAAATAATTCATTCCAACACGAAAAATGCACTCAAATTAAAGCTAAGTAGTCATTGAAAAAAAAATAACTTTAGTAAGGAAAACACTGAAAAATGCATTTTGTAGTTGTAAATGTATAAATGACCATAATAGAATAATAATTGATAAAAAAAAATGTAGTTTTATTTGCACTTTATCTTTGCGGATAGATGTCGGTGGAGGTGTAAATTGGTGGCAAAGGAGAAGGGAAAATGATACTAAAACTTATTGTTACATTATGTTATGTAAGTTAACTTAAAAATAATTTAACACTAATTTTTTAACTTTTTGTTTTATGTTTTATTTTTTAGATTTTTTATTCACTGCTTTTTGCCGTCTTTCCTTCACTTCCACTAGCACTTTCACTGGATAGAGGTCACTTGGTAAAATATCTATCCAAAGAGGTTTGGCTTTGCCTACTTTTTAAAATGTTTCTAAAATGACTTAGGCAAATGTCATTATTCCAAGCAGAATTATGGCCAGTGTGAACCTTTTTGGTATGTTTCTTTTCGATAAAATCAGTCACTTTCTGATAATACCTCAAGATTTCCTTTATCGAGCGAGATCCTTCTTCCATGACGAAACAAACTCGTGGACTGAGACCAATGAACAGAAGTGAATAAAAAATGGCGCTGCAAACTAATGTAACATTGTATGGTGAGTTTTTGTTCATATCGTGGAGCAAAATTATGTTCAAATTTCATGTTGTATCCTGAAAATTTCATACGCTGGGGCATTCGTATCCTGAGGTACCACTGTATTATATTTGAAATATCTGAAAGCATTGTTTTTTTAGAAAATTGCATTTTTCAACATCTTGCAAATGTTGACTGATTTTTTGATCAAAAATAATCAAAGAAATGACCTTTGCACTAGAGTTTGTAAAATATCAAAAATTATTTCTCAAAAGAGTGTAAAATTGTAATAACCAAATAACAAATAGAATACACTCTGTCCAGGGAATTCCAGTTGACCTGAAGAAGAGCAAAGAGTTTGTTCGAAAACATTCGTCAACAGCAGTATACAATATATACGCGTCACGCACCAGTTACAGGTTCTGGATAGTGTATTGTAGATTGTAATAACCATTCAATATATGAGTTAAATTGATGATAGGTATATGCTGACGATTAATGATATTTTTATAACAATATGTGTGCTGAGAAATTCATGTGATACTTAAGAAGCATTATTAATATATTTGATAATTGATTAGTAATTATTATTGACTAAATCTGATTAAATTATTTATTATGATTTTTATATTCTTTTCTGACATCTAATGTATAAAAATCTTACATTACAGGAATTATGGGCTTTGTATAATTTTGTTCAACAGGGGACATTACTTGGTTCTCTTCAAACTTTTAAATCACAGTATGAAATTCCTATTACAAGAGTAAGTATAAATTTTAACAATATAATTATTTTTAAACAAACAAAATTGTTACAAATATTTCAATAACTTTGAAAATTTATTATCAAACATTTTATTAAGTCTTAGTTAAAACTAATATATATGTTACCGGCCAAACCCGATTTCAGGCCAAACGGGTTTATCCTACGAATGTCAGGATATACTAGTTTAGCCCAGGACAATCTAGTTTGGTCTAAACACTTTAGGCTTAACTAGTTTGACCTGATTTAGAATTATTATTCAAGTATATTAATGGTTAAAATAAAATTAAAAGACCATCAATTAGAAGAACAATATTTATTGAAACATAGTCTACTTAATTATAAAAAGCAGNGAGTAAGTATAAATTTTAACAATATAATTATTTTTAAACAAACAAAATTGTTACAAATATTTCAATAACTTTGAAAATTTATTATCAAACATTTTATTAAGTCTTAGTTTAAACTAATATATATGTTACCGGCCAAACCCGATTGCAGGCCAAACGGGTTTATCCTACGAGAGTCCTACAGGATATACTAGTTTAGCCCAGGACAATCTAGTTTGGCCTAAATACTTTAGGCCAAACTAGTTTGACCTAGACCGAACTGATTTAGAATTCAAGTATATTAATGGTTAAAATAAAATTAAAAGACAATCAATTAGAAGAACAATATTTATTGAAACATAGTCTACTTAATTATAAAAAACAGTTTTGATTAGAAGTGACACAACACTTGTACAAAACTATAAAATAAAAATAAGCTAATCAGTACTTATCAGTTTGTATTTTTTTTTAATTACCTTTAAAAGTGCATGGCTTAATAATGTGAGGATTCTAGGGATTTCTTGATTGAAACCCCACTTCTGCTGCACCAATTTGTGAGCCACCGGAAGGGAAGAGAAGTCCTCTCCTTCCGGTCACTGGTCGGTGACCTACTTTCTTGTCAGGGATGGTAGTAACGTTCGGTTACGCGTTACGCGAGTGGAGGAGAGTCGGAGGGGTCGACGATAAGGCGTTGGCATAGTCGAATAAAGACACCATTTTCTAAACTAACAATTTATTACAGACAAATAATAAAACAAACGTTCTAACACGGTCCGTCTCATTCGCATATGAGAGAGAGAGCTTACAATAAAGCGTTCATACCTCTTGCGATGATATCGAAGGTCTTTAATTTCTGAAAAGCGGGATCCAAGTTGAAGGTTGGAATCGAAGGTCTTCTAATATGTGGTGCGGCCGGTTAGAGGGAAGCGAAATTCTATCTTGATGGTGCGATGGCGACTTCTTGATTAGCGACTCCCCGGAGAGGGGGAAGGAGGATGGCTTTTATACCTTGTTGGTGGGAAAATTCGTCAGGTGATCAATTGTTTTAGCAGGTGTGGGGTTAAAGGTGGTGTTAGAATGACAACAATATGACGAATTTCGCCGATAACTGTAAACTATATACGGTTTGATCGTGAGAATGTTTATAGTTAAACAAAAAGAGTTATAATTCTCTCATGTACTTTATATTTCGTTTTTGTAGGGTCAAATTCCTTTGGTTGAGGGCATTTTTATTTTAAATTTATTAAACTTTTAAAG